GATTTTTAATACTGGGCTCTTCTATATTGGTGTTCACTTTACCGATGTTTATGTTTCCCAAACGATTTAAAGGCTCAGTGAATACAACAGTGGATACCGTTGTTGTCGATAATAATACCAATAATGTCACCGAAGAGTCAGACACTTTAGAAGAGGTTAAATATAATGTCGAGAGTACTAAAAAAATATCCAAATTAAAAGGTTTGAAAAACTAATTGAATTAAACAAATAAATTCTTAATAATATTATATTTCAATTTATATACAGAGATAAAAATATCACTCAAGAGATTGTTTAAGAATCCAATTCTCATATTTCATGCTTCGGCCGGAATTTGTCGGGTTTTCGGATATTTTGGTTATTATGTATTTAAACCAAAGTATATGGAAATGCAATACAGACAGTCGGCGTCCAGCGCTAGCTTTATTACCGGTAAATTAATTGAAAATAATTAAAAAATTAAATTTAATGATAAGATTTATGAATCAATATTCATTCAATAGGATCCACAAGTATAGTAATGATGGCCATTGGGATAATGGGAGGAGGAGTTATCATCAAATATTTTAAGCCAAAACCGCGACCTCTTGTTCTGTTTATGTTTACCGTTGAACTGATCGCCAGTTTCTCTATTTTGTCCGCAATGTTCTTCGGATGTCCGGCCCCTGTGTTCCNCATTGGGATAATGGGAGGCGGAGTTATCATCAAATATTTTAAGCCAAAACCGCGACCTCTTGTTCTGTTTATGTTTACCGTTGAACTGATCGCCAGTTTCTCTATTTTGTCCGCAATGTTCTTCGGATGTCCGGCCCCTGTGTTCCCAAACGCTGTCATTTCAGACGGAAAGTATGTAAATCTAATTATATTTGATTCATACAATTAATTACAATTATTTATCGATATCATTGACCAAATTATAGGATGGCTTTGACGGACAGCTGTAACTTAGACTGCGATTGTTCAACACAAGTGTATCAACCGGTTTGCTCTTCTGATGGTCTTTCCACGTATTTCTCGCCCTGTTTTGCCGGATGTCCGGAATCTTCCATTGATAGGAGTACTAATCCGATTGTAAGTATTCTTGTTTTATAACCCTTTAATGGCAAGTTTTAACCATTTGCACAGACTTTTGGAGACTGCGGGTGCGCTACCGGTGACACAAATACGGTTCACAGCGGTTACTGTCCGTCCGATTGTAACAATTTTCCTATTTTTATAATACTTCTCAGTTTGGGTTCAATGATTTCGTCGACCGCCCGGACGGGCAATACTCTCATTACATTACGGTTTAATAAGATTATGCAAAAAATACACCAAAATTCGTGTATTAAAATTTTTTTATTGTATTTTACAGATGTGTTGATCCAAAGGACAAGAGTTTTGCGATGGGAATAATTGGCAGCTTTATGGCTGTTTTTGGTAAAATACTCTCATTATTGGCTAATTATTGAATAAATGTATTAAATATACTATTGTTGATAGCATTCATTCCCTATCCATTGATCTTCGGAGCCATAACTGATTCTACATGTCTTGTATGGGAAGAATCGTGCGGTGAGTGTCTTGTATTAAGTTTTGTCACACTTTAAGCAAATAATGAGCTTAAGGTTAAATACACAGGTCTTATCGTAATGTATTTGATTTAAGTTGTTGTTCGTTTAAAATGATTCGTTAATTTTCAAGATATTTATTTGATTAACAAAAATGTTTAGTGATTAGTAACTCAAGAGTGCACTTAATGAACGTGATAATCATGTGAACATAATATTAAATATAGTAAATTTTACTAAAAATAGACAATTTAAAAACTTTTAACATGATTTAAATGATTAATTCATATTTATTGATAGATATTTGAAATTTAATCTAAATTTTAAAACATGAATACAGTAACATTTAATAATTAATAAGCAATATTTTTAATTTTAAAATTGACCATATGGTTTTTGTGGCCAACTTGTAGGTAAAACAGGGAACTGTTGGTTGTACGACGTGGACAAATTCCGTGTGTATTTACACGGCGCTGCCTTTGGCTTCATGTTATTGGGCTCTGTGTTTGACATCGGAATCATTGTTATGTCAAACAAATTGAAGAATCTTTTAGATGACGACGACATTGACGTTAATAATGAGGACAATAAAAATCAGATTAAATTATTGCCAAAGAGGCTAAATAGTAGTCAACAGGAAAATGGTAAAAGTTGTGAAGTATCAGAAGAGGAAAGTTAGAAATTAGCAAATAATTTATATTTTTATATAACATTTTATACATAAGTTTTTTAATCATTATATTTGTATTGAAAACGATGATCACATCAATTAGTAAATTTAAAATTCATTAACAA